TCATGAAGAATATGGAAAGTCATGAGTTACATGGTGTCACACCCCGCTAAAGCGGAAACGCAAGGTATGACAGCGATAACGGTTTCATTGCAAAAGATAAGGATACATCACCATAGCAGTATTTAAAATTTTACAACCCAAAGCTTAAAAAGAAACAAAGTACAAGTTTTTCCAAAATAACATTGTTCAAAATATAACTTCATAATAGCTTCAACACGATGCAGCATGCTCTATGATGATGAATCTTTGTAACCACTTACTAATTATTTCCTGAAAATACATGTAAAACGAGCGTCAACTATGAAAATAGTTGGTGAGTTCACAAGTTTATAAAATCGAGCTTGAATAAGGGTTTTCATTAATACAAATACATTGCTTTAATGAGAAACAAAGTTGATTGCTATTAATGAATACAAGTTTATTGCTATAACGAGAAACGAGTTTGTATGTGTATGAGCAAACAATGAGTCTCAACCAAACCTATGACTGAAGCCCTATCGAGATCTATGCTTATCGTTCCATAGATGAATATGGTATCATGCACTCCAGCAATAGGGCGAGTGAGGAGTTGTCAATTCCTAATAGCGCTATCCATAATGACCATTGGCTCAAAGAGTTAATGGTTAGAGATAAGGAAATGGCCTTAGTACGATAAGTTCTCATGTTCCGTGTTGCATAGAAATACATAAAGAGACATAGCAATACAATAGCAATCATGTTTGATAATAATCAATTTAAATACAACGTGCAAACAGTAGTTTTTATGGACATGTTTTTCCACCCCAAAACATAAAAACTGAAAATAGGGGAGTGCGTGGATACTCACAATGTTTCGTGTAGGCACAAGTGGTACTTCAGAATGCACCAACGTCTTACTATCGGGATCCTACGACATCAAACACACACTAGTGAGTTTCCATGTCGAAATCTAACGCTAATATACTAAACTCTACATATAGTGAAATGCCAATTTATGTTTTAGTAATGAATTTTATATTAATTGGTTACACTTTTTCTGAAATAATGAAATTTACAAGTCGTGCGATTAATTACAACTTTAGAATATTAATTTTCCAAATTTAGTAATATAAATTTAAGGGTATTTTTACACATTTAAAAGTGTTTTATAGTCCTAAAAATGCAAAATATTATCAAACAGTTTCAAAAAATTGTCAAACTGTGTAGTTTCATTGTAGATACAATAGAAGTTTTCCAGAAATTTTTCCTTGAAGTTTTGATATGGTTAACTATTTTTCAAAATTTTAAGTCTTCTTAACAACATAAATTCACGAAAAATAGCATTCAAAGGATAAAAAATTCTCAAGCTTTTTATTTAACTATTATTACATAATACTAAGCTGGAAAAAATATAAAAATGGATTTCCAAGCTGTTTAATTGTATTTTATGGTTTTTGGGCATTTATTCCAATAAAAGATGAAATAAATAGAAAACAGTTTCCAAAATTACCCAAACTTTTTATTTGACTGTTATTATACATAACTAGGCTGAGAAAAATATAAAAGATATTTTTCAGTGGTTGTTTCTATTTTTCCTTGTTTTATTCGTTTAAATAATCATTAATTGAAGAATAAATATTAAACAGTTAAAATAAATTACCAAAAATTTTTGTAACATCATTTACAGTGTAATTAATCTAGAAAAAAAAATACCAAAAGTGGTTTTCATATTGTATAATCCGGTTTTGGGTATTTATGTGTATTTAAGTGCATTTAAATTTAGAAAATAAGAGAAAAATAGTTTACTGTAGATAAAAATCACCAAAATTTTTATGTGACCTTCTACTGTAAAACAATGTGTTCTGGTAAATTTTCATGAATTTTGGAAAATCAGAACTATTTTTCCTATTTTCAGGCCGTTATAATTACCAAAAATCGGGAAAAATAGTAAGGCATGAAGAAAAATTCTGAAATTATTTTTCTAAGTTACACACCACAGGTAAGGGCTGCAAAAATTGTTAGATATAACTTTCACACTCTCTAAAGTGGTTTTGTGATTTATTATATCCAAACGAAAAAGAAAATCGGAAATCATACCAAACAACAACAAAAATTGATGAAATTTAGTGAGGGGTCATTATTAACCATAAGGGTCATCCATGAATTTATTCTGGATTTATAGACCTCTGAAAATATTTTATGTGATTTATACCCTTGGTTTCTAACAATAATTTTAAATAAATCAAAGAAATAATAAAAGCTTTTGGTATTTTAAAGATATGTGAGGGCTTTCAAAAGGAAAAATGTTCAAAAATTATTCAGAAGGGAAATAGGGGTATTGAACCCAATCATGTTAAGAAATGTTGCATGCAATGGTGCATGAGATGTAAATGAAGCTGAAGTTCATGAATTTGAGTAGCCCATTCAGTGAGGTTTTAAGCCACGAAATTTCAGCCATCATTCACTGGATATGTTAAGTTTCTAAAGTATTTTTCCCCAGATTTATGGTTGGGTTTAAGGCCATTGATCATGCAAGGAAAAAATGGTGATCACAGAAAAAGAGCTGTTTGCGCAACCATTTTGTAAAAATTTCCAAAAATCGGATATTTAATACATTTTACAGTGAGACCAGTTGGGTTTGAAAGTTAACTCGTGGAACTATCCAATACAAAAAGAATATCATGATTTGGTTAAGTAATGACCGAGTTATGGTCGTTCAAATTTGAACAAAGTAATCTGGCAGATTGCATGTTTGCTTTGAGTGCATTCTTAGGATATTTTGACAAGAACATCATGCATGCCTTTGTTAAGGTCATATTTCTAGCACATGCATGGAGTGAATGAGCATCCAAGATCTACTATAAATGGTTTAAATGCTTTTGATAATGAAAGAACACAAAAGAAATGGAGAAGAAGATGTAATACTCGGTTTTGAAGTCACGTGAACATATGTGCATCTTTTTCACTCATTGCATGGGTTTGATCCCGGATTTTCAGCATCTCAAACACATGCATTGTGTTATGGTGAGAATCTACAAACCACAAGGGAAAAATAAGGATTTCTAGCCATGGAAAGGCATAGAATCCGAAAAGAAGAGAAAACTATGAAGAAGAGGAAGTAAAATCATGAAACTATAATAGAGGATTGTGTTGTTTACCTTGGTTTTGATCTTGAGAGAAGCAAGAACACTTCAAGGTCTCCTAAATCTCGAAATTATGGCAGAGTAAGGGAGGATTTTCGTGAGTTAAAGAGAGAAAGGGGAAGAGAGTTTGTGTGTTAGGAGGGTGGAGTGTGAGAGAGTGAAAAGCGAAGAGGAAGTGTGAGGGAATGAGCTTAATGATTGAGTTTTGGGAAGAGAGAGTATGGGGAGAGGGGAGATGGCCAGATTTTTGAGGCATTAAAGCCTCCTCTCTCCTGAATTCAAATTTTATAAAAATCCCTTCTTAATTTTTATAAAAATCTAATTTTTATAAAAGTGATTCTTTAAGCAATTTTTGATTTATTTAAAAATCTTGTTTTTAACTAATAAATTATGATTAATGTATGATAATTTATATTTCTATTTCATTGGTATAATCCATAATTTGATTAACAAAAATTTGATATTAGGAAGTTTATAGCCGAATTTTATAAAGTTTTTAAGCTTTATGATTTATAAATTTGGATTTTTGGCTCTTTAGGGTTTTTGGAATATTGTTTGATATTCATCATCATAATGAAGTATAATTAGAATATTTTAATTTATTTTTAGGGTTTTATACCCTTTTTCAATTATAACAAAGCTTGAAGTCTCATTCTAATTATAGCATTGACATTTCCTATTGTAGTTAAGCAACTTACTAGAATCGTAAGTGTCAAGTATATTAGTCCTAGGTCTTAGTTGGATCCTAGTTTATGCAAGATTTTGACCTAATTTATACTACTAGGCCATGGCATGTTGTGCATGAATGGTTTTTATAAAGATGCATGAGTCCGAGAATGACCTGAATTGACAGTTGTCACACATGGTGTAACCCTAATGTGCACACTATATAAAGAAGTCTCATGGTTGTAAAATTGGCACTTAAGCATACAGAAGTGAGGGTAGCCGATTTTGGTGCATATAATCTTCTCATAAGTTAATCCAATTGTTGGTGGTGTTGTGTGAAACATTTAAGGCATCACATTTGGGGTGCTAGGCTCACAAAGTCTTAAGGAATCCAAGCTACAAGAAAGGTATGTCATTCTACTAGTTTTTGTATTACATATACCCCATGATATGCTAGTTAGGATGAAAACCTTGGAAAATGAAAGTTTGCATGTGTAACTGAGAAAACATACATCCAAGGTTTCTAGGGTTGCATATACACCATAAGAGTGTTAGAATGCTCAAAACCCATAAGGAGGTGAGTTAATAGCTTGTAGTCGTAGAATCACATCTTCCATTAAATCATCATCATCATCATCTATTTCAAAAGTTTCTACTTCCATGATTTCTTAATTGGTGGATTCATCTTGGAGCGAATAATCAAATAACAGTTTCCATTTCACTTGCTTTTGTTCTTGTTTCCCCCCTCTTACATAGAAAGGCGTAGCTGCCGATGCAAGCTCTTAATCATAATCAAGTTCATTTAATCTCTTAAAAATATATTGAAAGCTTATGTTGATTTGCGTGGAAAGCGAATCATATGCGTTGGAAGTAGGAGCTTGAATTTTGATATGATCGAAGGTTTCATGATTTCATCTAGGATGTGAAGCATTTCATTGAAATTGTATATCGGAATATCTAGGTGATGTTAAGTTACATAAATAACCTTGATGATCATTTCTTGCATAACCATGCTCATTCTGTTTTTATGAAGAATCTCTTTCTCCAACCTCTAAATTTGTTCTTCATGTCGGACGTGAGTTTGCTTGATTAGAGTGTTGGTGGCAAAAGCATGTTGTCATGAACTTTAAGCACTGTGGTGAGTGTGGAGATGTGTTAAAACATATATTTCTTGTATCTTGCTTCAACATTTTTAAGAGTACGACTGAGATGAAGTAAGATAAGCTAATGCAACTAATTGGCTCTGCCAAGTTCTAAGGGGGCAATAGCTTGGATCTCAGAAAGAGACTTGAGGATAAGTTCGAGTTTGGAATCAAGACCTGTGACTTTCTGGTTAAGTTTCGTGTCAAGGCTTGATAGCTTTATATCAGTGTTATCAACTTTGGATTTTGTTGCGGTGATATTGTCCCGATGTTTCAAAAAGCCTAAAGGATCTACAATGTTTTTGTCAGAGGATCCTATGTCCAACGTGGAACTTTCTAATTTCTTTTCATCTTCCTCTTATTTTTCATTTTCATCATTATTTGGCTCAATTTGGGCACCATGGTTTTTTTCATTATGATCACCTTCCAAGGTTTCATCAATAGGAGGAGAGGAATGCTTGTTTCCTTTAATATTTTCTTCTTCAGATTCCTTGGAGGACAAGTAGAGCCAAAATCAAAACATGGTTTTGAGGAAGAAGATTTTTGTTGAAGACTGAAGGCAGTGGGAACCGGAATGACACCAACAGTGGTGTTATCATCTTCAAACATAATCTCATCGGAGAGATCATCTTCGACATCACGCTTGAAGCTTCTCTACTGGCAAAATTTAGAGGAGGATCATCTGAACCATTTGTGGGATCCCGAACATCTCCTTTAGCAACAACTTTATTTGTCTGTGGAGAAACTTCAGGAGCACGACCTTTAAAAAATTTGTACTACTTTGATTGCAATGATAAAGGGCTAAAGTTCTTGATGAATCTCCGTATTTGATGGATGCGCGAATGGGATGTGGCTACAGATTGCCTGCTGGCTCATAGAGATGAGAATGTATTCAACTTGTTCTCTAAAGAGATATGTATGTCTTGTATGAGCCCTGTTGTAACATACACGCTCAGTTATAGTATACTGTAAATTATAAAAGTGAATAATATTACGAAATATTATGTGAATTTGAATGTAGAGTTCTAACGGATAGTTTTTACTAGAAATGAAGTAAACGTATCCTTAGAATCATTAAGAAAGTATTGGAAGTCTTATGAGATTCCAATCAAATGCCAAATAGTAAAATTTAGCGAAAATATAAAATTTGAAATAAGTAAAGTTTTATTATTTAAAGCTGTAAAGAATCTCGTTAGAAAAGTTTAGGCGAAAACCTCTTCGAAATCTGAGTTGTAACGAAGGAGTTATGACCAATCGAACATCCACGATAAAAACGGAAAACATTATGTCGCGTAAAAAGTGAGTTTCCGGTAAACTACTTTTTAGTCTTAATGATCTAAATGAAAGTTGTAGAACTCGTTGAAATAATAAACTTTCATATACAGAACTTTTAAATCTGACTTCGTATGAGGAAGTTATCATTTTTTCTAAGTTTCGGAATGGTAGTAGATAGCTAAAAACTCAAAATAAAGATCGAGAAATATTTATCCGACACAACCTAAACGAGAGTTGAAGGTCTCGTCAATAGTAGTACAACGGTAAAAAGTCTGACGAAAACAGACGTCGGATGAAGAATTTATTAATTTTTAACGGATTTTCCTATCCCGGTCTGTTAAAAATAATAATATTAAAATGAAATTCAAAATTAGCCGACGAAGTTTAAAAGAAAGTTGTAGAGCATATTTTTACCTACGCATGCATTCAAAGAACGTCAAAAATGGAGCTCGTATGCGAAAGTTATGGATTTTAGAAGTTTGTGGCACAATTTCCGAGAATTTTCGCATGGATAAGGTCCATCTTGGTGAGTCACCCGCCTTGTCCGATGTATGTCGTCTGTTGATATGACCGAAGACGCGACCCACTAATTGTTAGGTCAAAATATGGGTTATACTTTGCTTTTCTGGGCAATTATATTTTTGTGTAATATTTATGAGCTTACTGTCTAATTTACAGTTAGGTGGCGTTTACGGTCATTGTTTACGGCCATAAACCCGTTTACGGCCCATGTTCAGTTAGCCCATATTCCCTTGTATATATATAGGTGTTAGGGGTGAGGAGTAGAGATTGATGAACAGTAAGGAGTGTACGGCCAAGAGAGAAAGTAGTGAGAAGTTTTGTGTGTGTGAATATTTTGTATCCCGATCTTCATTCTAATCAATTCATACATAGATTCATATTATTCTTCTTCTCATTCTCTTCTATTTGATCTGACATCATCTGTTCGATTGGGATTCCGCACCATCAAACAGATCTGATTGATACACAGGCAGATTAGAAATTTACAATTGGTATCAGAGCTTGGTTGTATCAGTCAATTTTGTCTTCATGTTTTTCATAAAAAAAGGGTGTTTGATCGAGTTTTGGAGCTTCAAAGTCGAAAAATCGGTGTTTGTGGTCGAAACCTGCGAGGGCGTGATGGAGTTTGCGACCGGTGGCTAGGGTTTCAGAGTTCACGGCCGGAAACTGTTCACGGTCACCTGAGGTTTGCGGCTGGAGTTTGAGGCCTCAGATCCCGGCTCGGATCGCGGCTAGGGAAGCCGGCTAAGCAGCAGCAAGCAGCAACATCGCTTCGCATTTAAAAAATAGGGCACGATTTTGAAGATGCAGGGTATCGAACCCGCGACCTCCAGCTCAACAAGGTTGCGCCTTACCCAACTCGGCTAACTGACTCCTTGTGTCATTCCTCCGAATTTTAAAATATAATCCGTCTTTTTCGCTTCAAGTTTCGCATTTTTGACACTTTTAACCCCAAAACTCAATTTCTTTTAATTTAAATTCTTTTTTCATCGAAAATTAAAAATAAATAAATAAATAAATAAAATAAAGATAATAATAATAAATAAATAAAAATAAATTAAATTAAAATTAATAAATTTTAATTTTTGCCTTTTATTTTTTAACATTTGACCTTAAAATTTGACTTTGACTTCCAAGTTTGACCTTTGACTTTTTGGTTTAAATTTTAAAATTTCAAATTTAACATTTCGGTTTGACTTTCAAGTTTGACTTTTGAGTTTAACCTTTTTAAATTTGACTTTTAAGGTTGACTTTTGAGGTTTATAATCAAAGAGTTTGACTTTTAAGTTTGATTTTGGCTTCTAATTGTGCTTTTTAATTGATTTTAAGGTTTACGAGGGAGTTGAAAACATGAAAGAGAGTCGTCAGGATATGTTAAGACAAAATTTCAACATTTTTGATTATATCCCTGGAGAAACCCTCGAAACTCAGTTGCAGCGATTTACTACTGAGATAAATATAGTTGGGATCTTCTTGTCTAAGTTTGAGATAAACAAAAAGCTACTGAATTCACTTCTGAAATCGTGGGATATGAATGTGGCTATCATGAAGAAGACAAAAGATCTCAATCGTCTTAGTCTTGTTGATGTAATTGAAGAACTTGATGCTTTGAAGTGTAGGAAAACAATGAGTTCTGAAAGCATTCTGGTCACTGAAGTTACATGTACTCTAGCTTGTGAACCTATGATTAAATTTCTTCGGGAACAAATTGATTTATTAAAAAGAGAAGTTGAGGACCTGAGATATGAAGGATATCAACTCAGGAAAGGAAAGAAACCCCTGAAGGCTGAATTAGAAGCAAAAACCAAAGACTTTAAAAAGCTTCAGGAAGAGTATAGCAACAAGTGTGAAAATTATAATTATATTAAGAGACAACTTGCTGCTTTAACTGAAGAACTTGACACTTTGAAAATTAAGTGTGGAAAAACAGATGTTAGTTTCAAAAATTATACTGCGTCAAGTCAGACAATCGAGTCATTATTTGAAACCCAATTAAAATTCAAGGATAATCAAAACAAGGGTCTAGGGTATGATAGTGTTCCTCCTCCTTTAAATCATAACTACACATCCATCCCTATGACACAGGAAGAAATTGCCATGGAGGCACATATTCAATTTGGCAAACAAGATGGATTTGTATCAGGAGGAGTTATTAATGTTGAAAATACTAATGTTTCTACTTCATGTGCAGGTAAAGTAGCAGAAGATGAGAACAAGGAGAGCACTACCGAACAAACCAATGACTCTTTGAACTCAGAATCTATTGCTTCGAATTCTGTTACTCCTAACAAACTTGCCGTTGATAAATATAGGCCTCCAATTCCAGCGCAACAGAATGCGTGTTGCAAGTTGGGAAAAACAAGAGACAAGGCATGGATACGCCACCAGGGATAGGAAGAAATAACTTCACAGTGAAGAAAAAGACTTGTTTTCACTGTGGAACACCTGGACACATTGCCAGAAAATGTCCTAATCGTGCATACGTTCCCTACTATGCTCAAGGCCGACATAACGTGCCAAGAGGGAGATACTTCAAAAGAAACCCCTCAAGGTCACATTTCAGACAATGCCGATTGGAATGCCATGAAGGCCAAGAATTCAACTCCCAAGGCCAAGCATCCAACTCCCAAGAACAAGAAGGGAATATTGGACCATAAGTCTAGTTTAAGAGATGCTCCTATGAAGCCAAGACCGGTTAGGTCAAAGTTATCTAGGCAGATGGCATCAAGTTCCAAATCAAGTGCCGAGACACCCATCGGATCGAACAAGAAATGGGTTAAACCCGAATATAGATGGGTACCAATGGTGAAAACTCCCAAATCTTCTAATGACTCTAATATTTCATCATCTTTTGTTTGTGATAAGTAGGATATGTCATGGGAGAGAGTATTGTGCGTTGATGACAAAGGTCGACCCAGTTTTAAAATGGACTGGGTTCCAAAGACCAACTGATCCCGCTGTGTGTCGGAGCAGCTATGGAGGCATATCATCAGACTTCGGTTTGTTGGTAGTGGCTGCTCCTCGCATATGATTGGGGATATCTCTCAACTGTACAACACTCATGACATTATTTGAGACTAGGTGTCCTTTGTGGGAAGGGAAGAAAGGAAGGGATCACTCATGGGGATACTACTTAACGATGTGAAGAATTTTTGGATCTGTTCTGAGATTACGCGTGCTGTTCTCGGACCTTCTGGATGCAAATTCAATCGGTGACTTACGGTTTGAATTTTCTTCTCTATACTCCTAAGTTTTTCTTAAGCTGATTCGCTTTAAAGACTAATTTTTGTTTTAGGATAGTTTAAATTTGCACATTTACTATCGTTTCTCTCCTATGCATAAATTTATGGGGAGAAATAAAAACAAAACAAAAACTAGAAAATTAAAAAAAAATCCAAAAACATTAGAAAATCAGAAAAAAAAATATATGGTGTTAATGGAATGTGCTTGCAGGAGATGTTTTGGGAAATGAAATTGGCAAGTGATAACGGGCAATCTGAATCTGCCTAACGTACCTAAGTTGAGTTGTCTACGCACTGTGCTCGATACGCTGGTAGGCACGAAAGATTTTAAATGGACTTGACTAGGGAGAGTTGAACTTAATGAATTCAATGACTTGACAAACATTGAACTAGTTAGATTCATTTAGCCTGGCATCACGACGCTCGGATAGGCTGAGCAGGGAGATATACATGGGAATTTACCGGTCTCATTAAATAACCCGTATCTAGAACTGTGGATTCACTTTTCCTCGATGTGCGGACTCTATCCTTAATTTCGGTTGGATGGGGTGATTGGGGAATTCCGATAAG